TAGCGATGGCCTCCAACATCATAGCGATGGCTTCCACCTTAGTAAGTAGCGTCCTTGTTACATCATCAAGTAGATGATTCGCAAATGGGTGAGGGTCAAACTCAGAACGCCCTGATTGACCACCCAGATGAACAAAATAGAGGTCAACCTACCCTGGTTGGGCTCTAAACGATTCTGCTTCATCACTGAAACTTTTCGGAGAGGAATCACAAATAAAACACAGTAGGATGGTCACTCCCAGCTTCTGCACCGAGAGGAACCAATTGCCGTTAGTTTGGGCCTTGAGGGTGTCCAGGCTGCACAGGGGAGCATGTCCAACCCCCAAGATCCCCCCCGCCCTGGGAGTCCAGTGGACGATTTTGAACGTCTTCTCCTAGGTGATCCGAGTCCAGGAATGTCCTTATCTCTACTTTGCTGGTACCAAATCTAGTGGACTTCCAGGACCAAGCTTTTTGAGATGCCAGGAACAAAGAAGTCCAAAGAAGTTCAGAAGTCCACAGCATGACGTGCACGGCCGAAACCTTATGAAACGTCCATAGCAGCCACCAGCCATCCCAGCCTTCCATCAGCTGGCCAGGGCCTCGAAGGGATGCACACCGGGAAGTGGTGGCGTTGTGGCGCGGCTTTGATGAAACCGTGTACGGCTCCATATGATGATACAGCTAGTTAGTTGTTTAACTAATCAGAGATAGCATGAAGCCGGGAGATGCTGAGAGGACCAGATTTTGCTGGCTCAATTGGAAGGAATGGCTGTATGCCACATGGCTCCTTATAGCTATAAGGAGCTTATGGAGTAAGGGAAACTGGCATACAAACATGGAGTGAGCTTATGCTATAGGCATACAGGAATGGCTCCTCATTAACTTACTCCATGCCTGCATTGGTGGGTCGTTCGACTGCCCGATGCATGTTGCTGCGCAGAAAAGGTGTCGGAGGGATATGGATGATTGTCCACTTGACAACCACAAAGAGGGCTACAGGCAACCAACCCGGACCTGAAGTTGGACATGATGAAACACCAATGAAACGTTCCTGTGGGAAAAAAATAGACTTATGCATGCGGAATAGTCAAACCATTCGGGAGTCATGTCCCCCGTGGTGCGACCACTCTGAGCTGCTGACAAAGGCTGCAACACCTGGCAAAGGGGACGTGGATCAGCTCTACACAGCCGTGGTGTCTCCAACACAATCCTGGAAAAGTCACGGATTGATTAAAACTTAAGCTAGAAAAGGAAGGAATTGAATGGAACTGGCTGGGGAACACAACCAACCAAGGGACATTCCAAACATCATGTGGTTTTGCCTGCGAACCCTTCTTGCTCGCGGGAGACTTTCTGTCTGAATGAAAGGGATGCAAACTGCTGAAAGAATCATCTGCTGTCTCCGATCAGCTTTCTTCAGGATCCGATCAGCTATACATACCTGGCGTTTGAAGGCTCCTCCCTTCAAAATGAGTGGGAAGCGACCGGAATCTTCAGAAACATCAGACATCCACGTCCAAACTCAGTGTAAAAATTCTGGTCATGAGGATCTTTTAATTTCTCCTCAGCATTCATCTTTCACCCCACCAGTGCCTGGGTCGTCTCTGCCGCTGGCACCTGCCAGCCACTTTCACACGCAGGCAAAGAACCTTTCCCCAAGCAGGTCATCGGGCTTTATAGATTTTCCCCTAAGTTTTATAGACTGTAGTAAATGGACTGGTATCGAATGCGGACAACTTGTTTCCAATCCATCACCCCCTCACCCCCTATCGGATGATTTCTATCGGCCACTGGGGTAGGTTTCTACCTGCAAACAACACATCTCCATCGTTTTGCACTGTATACTGTATGTGACTTGCCTCATTTTCTAGCCAGCGGAACCAGGTCTTACCTTTGAAGCGACACCCAGGTCTCTCCTCTGGAGACTGTGTTCGGTCCCGCCTGAGCCTCCGTGGGCTCGCTCAAGCGACCGGGCGAACACGAGCGCTTTTCCGCGCAGGGCGCGCTGGACGGGGCCTCAGTTGGCGCCAGGGCCCACTTGGATGGAAGACCTCCAATAGCCCAGCATAGCAGAAGTTCGGAGACCTTTGCAAGATGTACACTTTAGCAAACAAACATAGATCAAAGTCAAAATAGACATTAACACGGAACGCGGACAAGCTCCCAAGTAGCCTAACATAGAACAGGTGTCCAAAACGTCTCTCCAAGATGAAATTTCTATGTTAGTCTCAGTTCCCTCTGTCCTAGCAAGTTCTATGTTAGGCTTGCTTCCCTTGGTCCACACATCCTTTCTCCCTTTTTCCGCGCTGCTGGTCCCGAGCGAAAGGTCCATTAACAGCCCTCTTTTAGGGCGCCTCTGTGATGTCCCCTTTCTGCTATAGCCGTTACAGTACAGTACAGTAACACAGAAAACGGTCATTCCCCAAACAGGTTTACCTGTGAGGGGTTCTTACTCCCTTTAAAGGGGTGCATGCTCGGGCCCATGATTTCACCCTTGTCTCCCACTTGTCTCCGACTTGTCTCCCAGTAAGCTCTGGATGCTCTCAGTGCTCTGGCCGCATGATTTTATACTTGTCGCCATTTGTCTCCCATTTGTCTCACACTTGTCTCCCACTTGTCTCCCAGTAAGCTCTGGATGCTCTGA